TAGTTCATATGATATATAAGTCATATGAAATCAAAAGATGGAAGAGAAGTTGTTAAAGAGCTACTCACCTTTATTCTCAAGGTCTTTCTCTACTTTTGCAACCTTTTTCTTCTTCCTTGAGCTCTTTGCTTGTTTGAGCTTTCTTGGCTATGGAGATGGAGGGTTTTCAGAGCTATTTCTCTCTCTCTTTGGGGGCTGGGTCGAGCTAAGTGATTGGGGGGAGGTGATGTGTTTCCTTTTGTCTCAAATGTGAGATAATTGGGAGGGGAGGTCTACCTAGGGTCATTCCTACACCAACCAATCACTCTCACTCAATATACACCACTCCCCCATGCTATGCAGCTCCCCAAGTCAACCATCTAGCACACAAAAACGTGGGGTGGCCCCCACTCATGTGGGAGGTCATCCCAACTTGTCCCGTTGTGTACAATCAGCCCCGAAAGTTGTATTTCTCGGACTGTTTTAGTTATATTTTATTTTATCGGGTCAAATAAAATATATTACATGTTCACACTCATTATGGACCTTAAGAATGAATATACATTCCCCAACTTTAATTTAAGTCTCCGAAATTCATTTCGGACTGTTATCCGATAATTATCCAAAACCGGTAATTGGGCCTCGTTTGACCAATCGGTCAACCCAATGCCTTTCTTATGGTCCAAAGTGAATGTCCGCTACCATATAACTATTATCTATGCCAAGATGAATAAAATAGGCGATCTCGGGAATATCGGGTGGTCCCCGCTCCCGGTGTGGGCCCCACGTGCAATTTACTATTCACGCAAAAGAATTAAAGGAAATTTACAACCTTGTAAATTCATTAACCATTTCATAAGATTCGACACACAATTTACTTAAAAGTAAATACACTTGGGGACGGTGTTACACTAAACATTTTATCAAACATGGCATATGCAGAGTATAGAGAGTACATATACCATAAAATCATTCATACATAAAAGAACCGGGACTCCATCAATAACTCCACATGGCATATGCAGAAAATTCACTAAGCATTTTATCAAACATGGCATATGCAGAATATAGAGAGTACATATACCATAAAATCATTTATTCATAAAAGAAAAAACAATTATTTATGTGAAACATTAAGTAAACAACAACAAAGAACATAGAGTTGACCTGAGTGAGGAAGGATAAGTGGTTGTGAAGAGAAGGAATGGTTGCCCCTGTCGTCCCATCCCAAAAACTTTGATCATCGCATGGCTGCTCATGTCATACTCACGCCAGAGATGGAGGCCAGAGGCTCGAGTGAAATCAAAGCCTTTTTTCAGTTAATTGAAAACAAAGTTCAGTATTACTACATACATATTTACATTGTCCAAATTTAAAGTTAAAACAAATCGCTTCTACAATGCTATTAAAAAAACAAAGAAAGATCACTAAACATTTTATCAAACATGGCATCAGGCATATGCAGAGTATAGAGAGTACATATACCATAAAATCATTCATACATAAAAGAACCGGGACTCCATCAATAACTCCACATGGCATATGCAGAAAATTCACTAAGCATTTTATCAAACATGGCATATGCAGAATATAGAGAGTACATATACCATAAAATCATTTATTCATAAAAGAAAAAACAACTATTTATGTGAAACATTAAGTAAACAACAACAAAGAACAGAGAGTTGACCTGAGTGAGGAAGGATAAGTGGTTGTGAAGAGAAGGAATGGTTGCCCCTGTCGTCCCATCCCAAAAACTTTGATCATCGCATGGCTGCTCATGTCATACTCACGCAAGAGATGGAGGTCAGAGGCTCGAGTGAAATCAAAGCCTTTTTTCAGTTAATTGAATATAATTAATCATCCCGGCGAACAGTACCTTATCCTGGTGTCGCTCGGAGGCTCGAATTGGCACCACCAGAGATGGAGCTTGTGAAGATGCTTCGGCAATCGGCACCGCCAGAGATGGAGTTGAGAAGATGAAGAGTGTCTCTTTCCATCGAAAAGAAAGTCATTTGGTTTCTGCGAGGGAGAGAGATGAGAAGAGTGATTTGGTATGTATCAGGGATGGAGAGAAGGGATGCTCAGGGGATTTCCGATGGAAAGTGATTTAGGAAACAGGAAGAAAAGAAAGCCGTAGATCTAAAATGATTAATCGAACGATTGATGTAGCCTGATGCTTGAGCGGGAAAATGCTCCTCCCCAAAGTATTGCAATTATGTAGAGTGATTATATGTCAAAAGTCAATGTCCTTGAATTGTAATGTGATTCAAACTTGTAACATCCTTATTAGAAATGTCACATTAATGTCATCCTACCACAAATTACGTAACAATACTTTTTACTCTTATTTACAACATCTCTCCTTTTTTTTTAGTTTTTATTTTCAAAATATCACACCATTGGTATTTAATACGCAATAATTTGATTATGTGAAATATTTAAACTTTCCTTTAGCGCATGGCACTCTATAAAATTGGGTATAATAAACTGAAATGCTTTGATCACATATTTCTTTCAAAAAAAGTAACGTGACACTTGTTATATTATGAAACAATGAAGAAAAGTAAAACATGTAAAATGGGAGATGTGGAGTGTGTGTGTGTATTGGATCAAATAAATAAGGTCTTAACGTGTAAAAATGAAAATTATTTTAGCCGTTCAAAAAGTCAATCTGATGCCCAATAAACCATATTTGCTGCACATTTCCAATATTTTCAAAAATGTTACCGCGTCTAAATGTTGGAAAGGTGCATTGGATAAGATTTATTCAAAAAGTGCATCAGATAAGGATTATTGTGTATCAGATTGATAATTTAGACGTTTGAAATTAATTCTTATTTTTCATGTTAAGACTCTTTTTTATTTGAGCTCTTCCCTATGTGTGTGCGTGCACACCTGTTTGTGATGCATTTTTTTTTATTTGAGCTCTTCCCTACGTAACACTTTTTGTAAATGCGAAAAAGTGCAACATAGAAACTTAGTAGTGCATCGCCCTAGAGGAATAGTTTTTATTTGATCTGCATCCTATTTAAGTAGTATATTATTTTATTTTTTGTTATCGTATATTATATACTCCCTCCGTTCTTTATTGATTGTCTCATATTCCTTTTCGGGACGTTTTTTTATTATTTGTCTCTCCTTCCTTTTTTGGTAAGTCTTTTCAATCAAAATACCTTTTTACCTCACTCTTATTACTCTCCCCCCTTTATCTTTCATACTTTATTATTTAAACACAAATCACTATACCTTTTACATTATCCCTATTATTTTCCCCTTAAAACCCGTGCCAAAGCCTAAGGGGACACTTTATAAAGAACAAAGGTGTTTATTGTATTTTATCATTTTTCTGTTTTTCATACCTTTTTTTCTTTCTTATTTTTTGTCCTTTTAGCCCAGATATCACATATCAATTCATGTTAGTCGTCTCAAAATTTTTATGAGATTAGTCGTCTCCATCCGTCCCGCTAAAACTTTCCCATATTACCTTATCGGGAAGTCTCACTAAGATTGCCTCATACCAAATTTGGTAAAGATTGTGTGACTCTAAACCATTTTTACTTTATTCTTACTTTATCAATTTAATATCAACCACACAAACTCACTTTTCTTAATAATCATGCCACCTTCTCTCGTTTCAATCTTAGGATGTTTTTACTTGGACTGTAATTTGCCGGTCTGGTCTGGTCTGATCTGGTCTGGTCTGGTTTCTTTGTATTTTTATAACTACCCAAGTCTAGTCTGGTCTGATCTGGTCTGGTCTGATCTGGGACAAATTACAGTCCAAGTAAAAACATCCTTAATGGGACGGAGATAGTAACACTGTACAAATAAGGAGATAAATATTTTGTTTACCAATATTTGTGCGTGTCTCTCTCATGTCATATGTGTACCGTGCATATTATGACATTAGAGATATTAAATGAGATGTTGTTGTGGTTATTTCAAACATTTATTATGAGTTAATTAGACGTTTTACTATGTTGCACCGATACTTCACATCGATGCCGTATCCGCGTATCCGATACGTATCTGTATCCGATACGTATCTGTATCCGATACCCAGCGATACGCGTCCTGTACGTATTGGGTTCGTATCCGTAATTTAATAAAAGTATCGGGCTTAATTTTAAAAATACCGATACTTCCGATACCCGTATCCGTGAACCGATACGCGTTTCTGACCCTATAACCCCTCATTTGATACACGACATGACGAAAATTTAGTAGCCGCCCAAGTGACCACAACATGTGGAACATTGATAAAGATGGTTTTGGGAGTATGGAAAATAATGGAATACTATAATTTGTCATTTCATTGCTTAATGAGCTTTAATTGAAACAAGACATAGATGTAAATGCAAATAGAGAACAAAAAATGTTATTTGAATTTACATCAAAATATTAGTACTTTTGTTCTTTAGTTTTTTTAGACTAATCTTTGAAATTGTATTATAACAATTAATTTTTTGTACCATTATTATTTTATTTATGAACCCCTGAATTATACTCCCTCCGTCCCAGGGAGAAGTTCTTGGGTTGACTTTCACACATATTAAGGAAATAAAGTTACTGAGGGGTAAATTTTACTGTTTGGCACTGTGTTTTCGACACTGTTTGGCACTGTTTCGACACTGTTTGCCACTGTTTTGCACTGTTTGGCACTGTTTTGATGTAGAATAACTTTCCATTTAGGGAAATGGGAACTTCTTGTTGGGACTGCCAAAAAAGGAAATTGGGAATTTGTCCCTGGGACGGAGGTAGTATATATTTGCAAATTATACCCTATATTATATTATTTATAAATATACCCCGTACCCGTATCCTATAATTTTTGAATTTGCCGTATCACCGTACCCGTATTTGTGTATCCCTATCCTTCCAACATAAGACGTCGATACAAAATCTAAACGGAGCATATTTGGATTAGAAAATTTCAATGGAAGACTAAACAAAAGGTACCAAGTTGACTTGTCATTATTGCTACGAGTAATATATTTAAATTTTTAAAGTGTGGGTTCCAACTTCCAACATATTTGAAGAAGCTCCATCATCACTGACATTCTTAAAAAGGATCTTAGCTTAAACCTCTCTGCCTACTTTCCCTCCTCACATAAACTCTTCTTCTACCCAAACCAATTCCTGGCTTCCGGGTCATGCCCGCACTCACTACTAGCTTCTATTCTCGATGTCGGGCTTTCTGAACGACGAGCTATCCAAGCGGACGACTGTGTTCGGGTTGAGATTATGGGTCGTACTGGGATTCTGTTTGGGAGCGGCGTTTGTTCTTCTTCTCTTCATCATCTCTGTGTGGCTAACGTCCAGGCGCAATGTCAAGAAAAAGATCACCTCCGTTCTCCCCCACGCAATCCCCGCCGTTTCCAAAGAGATCCAGGAGATTCGGGTCGACCCGCCGTCTCGGGCCATGTCTGAAAATCCGAAGAATTCAGTGGATACCGCCCACGACCCGGTGCCCGAGCCCGAATATTTAGGGAAAGATACTCAGAAATCTGGCGGGGATAGGATGATTCACGGAGGAAATGGAAAGGGTCGCAGAAGCTCGTATTCGGAGCGGGTGGGTTCGTGTGACGGGAGCGAGAAGCTCGGGTCGGGTGATCAGCCAGTGCCCGAAGTGTCACATTTGGGGTGGGGTCATTGGTACACTCTCAGAGAGCTCGAAGTGTCCACAAATGGGTTTTCTGTTGAAAACGTGATAGGTGAAGGTGGCTATGGAATCGTTTACTATGGTGTTCTTGAAGATAATACGATAATTGCTGTGAAGAATTTGCTCAATAACAGGTAAACTTCAAAGTATCTTCTGTCCGCATGTGTCTTTGTCCCATAAGCCACATTTACGAGGTAGTTTTTATTATTGATTTATATGGTACTTATTTTGAATTAATGATGTAGTTGCCTAATCAATGCCTAAAATTAATGAGAGTACATAGGTGCTGTTTGGTAAAGCTAGTTGGCTGAAATTAGTGAACAGAAAGAAATGAAATGACTAATTATGTTGAATTGTTGAAGGGAAAAGTGTTCTTTAATATCCCTTCCGGCTATACCAAATGAGCTTTAAGTTGATAAAGGGGTTGTCAAGCGATCTTTGTGCAATAAATCCTTCTGACTAGCATCTAATTATGTTTTCATGGCAAGAAATGACATTTTGTAATATTAAGCCGTGATGGGTGAATTATTGTTTTTTAACAATATTAAGTATGTATTATAGACTAGTAATTTATGATGAAAATAGCATTCCATACATTCCAAAGATAAGATTGTCATTTCCAGAAAAATGAGCTTGGCTAGATTTTAGCCGCTTGGAATGGATATTTGGGTTATTCTACACTCTGTTTAGGTCCTTTATGAGATTTTCAATTCAGGGGGCAAGCTGAGAAGGAGTTTAAGGTTGAAGTAGAAGCTATCGGGCGGATCAGGCACAAGAATTTGGTGAGGTTGCTTGGTTTTTGTGTGGAAGGTGCTCATAGGTCCGTTCCCCTGATCCCAAATAGAGTTTTAGATTCTTTTAAGATGGATTTTCTTGGGATTGTTATTAAATTTCCTTAGTGTTGCTTCCAGGATGCTTGTTTATGAGTATGTCGACAATGGAAACTTGGAGCAATGGCTTCATGGAGATGTAGGGCCCCACAGCCCTCTAACCTGGGAAATCCGGATGAATATTGTTCTTGGAGTGGCTAAAGGGTATTTATGCTTTTGTTTAGTGGTGGAGCCAGAAATGTTGTTGTATTAGATATGGCAGAGTTTGAAACTTTTACACTGGGGTTGAAGCTTCATATTTCAACATATATTTTTATATTTTATATTTTTCTTACATATACTTTTGTTTACTACTTCCTCCGTTCTTTAATTCTTGCAACATTGAGATTTTCGCACTATTCACAGACCTTACTTTGACTACGATTTTCTACTAGTATACATAATCAAATTATTACGTATAAAGTGTTATTGAATTCTTATAATTGTGAATTTCCAAAATATCAAGTTTTTATAATGTTTAGTAACACCTAATTGGCAAACGTGAAAGTCAAACTGTTGCAAGAATTAAAGAACGGAGGATAGTATTTATTTATAGTAATAATAATAATAATACAAATTAGTATTATTATTATTATTATTAATATTATTGCTGTCTTTTCCATTGCTTTTGTTGAATGTTATATACTTTATTTAACTTCTTCTATAAGTCTATAAGTAAGACTCTGCATGTTTTGTAGGTTGAGCTATTTGCATGATGGGCTCGAGCCTAAAGTTATTCACAGGGACATCAAATCAAGCAATATTTTGCTTGATAAGCAATGGAATCCAAAGCTATCTGACTTTGGCTTGGCCAAACTCTTGGGTTCTGAGAAGAGTTACATCACCACTCGGGTCATGGGAACGTTTGGGTCTGTAAGCTCATTTTTTTTTATACAAATATCTACTTTTTATCATATCTATGTTTTTCTTCTTTTCAAATATAGGGCCTGTTGGGGATAGCTGAAATAGCTTAATATGAAGTGTTTGTTGATTTTTCGGTTAAAATAATTGATTGGATGTATAATTACCTGAAATGATCCATAGTGTTTTTTATATTGGGCGAAACAAAAAAGTCATGATAGAGCTGTCATTTCATTGTCAAAATAAGAACCAGCCTAAAAGTACCAAAAATCTATGTTTTGCTTAAAAGCCGAATCAGCCAGACATTAGGGTGTTTGTTCTTTTTCAATCCTTTACAGCTTATAAGCTTATTTTGGCATATCAAATGGACTCATAAATGTATTTTGTTCCAGGTTTTCAGCTCTCTGGATGTTTTTTTTACTTTTGTATTTGTCCCTATAATTTATAGAAAGTTGACTTGAAAAGTTCAGAACAGAGATTTGTGTCGCATTAATTTTATTTTGGAGATTTTAAAATAAAAAATAAGTTATGAATATAGATCTTATATATTCATTTTCTTTACATAGATCTTAAACAAAAATTCATTATTTTTTGGATTGAGAATATAATGGAATAAAGCGAAACGGCTCACTAAACTGTCTGTGCTTCTTTATTATGAAGCAGCAGTTAGTCCATGCAATTTTGGACGCGATTTTCACTCTGGGTCATCCGGAAACAGTCTCTCTGTGTACATCCGACCCCCCTTACCCCACCGTAGGTGGGAGCCTTTGCGGCAGGGGTAAATGAAAATGAAATGAAATGAGATCTTAAACAAAAAAATATTATATTTGTGCTGACCAAAATCATATTTTAAAGCTTTACCTTTTAGGTAATTGCTTGCTTTCTTCAGCTAGAGAAGGGCAGATGAGTTGGAATGCTTGCATAAATTTCATCATTTTATATGTGCAGCTATGTTGCTCCAGAATATGCTAGTACTGGCATGTTAAACGAACGAAGTGATGTGTATAGTTTTGGAATCCTTCTTATGGAGATGATTACCGGGAGAAACCCAGTTGATTATAGTCGCCCTCCTGGAGAGGTTTGGCTTAATAACAAATTATGCATAATTTACTTCTACCTTTGGAGTTTGGATTGCCTCTCAGATTTTGTTACTATCTATGCATTATTGTTATTATAGGTGAACCTAGTTGAATGGCTTAAAAATATGGTTTCAAACCGAAATGCAGAGGGGCTTTCGGATCCCAAGTTACAAGAGAAACCTTGTTCAAGGGCATTGAAACGCATCCTTTTGGTTGCCCTACGTTGTGTGGACCCCAATGCTCAGAAGAGGCCAAAGATGGCTCATGTTTTACACATGCTTGAAGCCGATGATTTTCCTTACCGTGAGGTAAGTTTGGTTTTCCTAAGCACAATCTCATGAGTCATGTCTTCTATTAATCCCCCATATATTACTCCTGAACATTTTCTTGTATGATCACAGGAAAACAATAGTATAGCATCTTACATCTAAAGTTCTATCCCGACAAATTTTTATTCCAAATATTAAATTATTTACTCATGTGCATTGAAATGGGTGAACAATCAGGTTAGATAATTAACCTAGCTGATTCATGAAAAGCTGAGTTAAGTATCAACAAATTCAGCTCATTAAACCATTTCTGCCAAAATATTCCTACTGCACGGGATCTTGTTATTTTTCACATCTGAACGTTGTGTGTGACATGTTCATAACTACCCTTTTGTTGCAAAGTACAGTGGGTAACTGCTATACTGATCAAGTAATCATATGAGCATGCTAATGTTGTCCACACAAATTTCTTTTATTAAAGAAAATCATCTCCTCTTTGTGCATTATGTTGGTGCGCACTCAAGTAGAGTAGATTTTTCTCTATACAGTAAGTGTGCAAGGTCATCACCAGATTTGCTTATTCCTATGGCCTCCTTTCATTTGGTATAAATAAGATTAAAGCTTCCAGTGTCAATTTCTATAATGACAACTGAGTGCATCTTATGATATTTCCCCCCAGAGTTTTAAAACATATATGTTCTCACAGCAGTTATCCAACTTGTAATGAACAGCTTTAATGAGTATAGTAGTATATATCTCATGGACCTCCTTTTGCTTTTCTTAAAAAGTCATAACATGTGGGCTACTTTATTTATAGTGGTGACTCTTTTATATTCTTCTACTACATGCTATGAAAATACACTACTTTGTTGAACAAGAGAAAATGGAGAAAAAAATAGTAAAAGACAAAGATTTGTTTACCCGACACGTCAAAAGACTACTTTGGCGATCTGCCAAACCAGGATTTTTTTCAGTGGTTTTTCAGATAATACAAATGACAACTGTGATCAACAATTTGTAATAGAGATGCAACCCTATTTGAGTTTTATTCGGACTGAACCAAAAGTCTTCCAAAAAGTGCCATAATTGGGCCTGAATGTCTAGTCTGGCCAGGTATACAGTCTCCACAGTCCAACACTGCATACTATTAACTCATTGCTATGTGTATGACTTGCTTGCTTCCCCGGAATAGCTTGAATTGATGACTAGAGGGACTTAAAGTTAACCATCACTTGGTAGCAGGGGTTGGAACCCCTGTAGAGCTGTGTATCTTCCTGAGTTGTACAGCGGGGATTTATATCCTACACCATGGAGGGGGGGGGGGGGACCGGAGGGCCCTCTGGTGGTGTTGAGGTTCACCTTTTTTAGTTCAAAAGTTGTCATATTTATAATGCAAAACCATACCCCCTCTGTCCTTATTTCCTTTGTCAGTTCTGGTATACGAGATTTGACTATAGTTACAGTCATTAGCTTTTCCTAATCATATGAGATTTTAATAATTAAAATGTACTCCACCCAGGTCTGACTCCACCCGTCTCAATTTAAGGTTGTCACGTTCCTCTTTTAGACGTCTCAGTTAAAGGTTCTCATTTCTATTTTAGGAAATAATCAACACTCTTGAATGACAACTTAATCATCAAATATTAAAAAATAATGCATCTATAACATGATAGTTATCATCAATGAGACAATGACCCTATTATGTTATTTACTCACCAGAAATGTTTCTTAAAATAAATTCAAATTGCCTTATTTAATCATTGTCTAAATAATTGTGCTATTTTGCAATGGAAACCTTACGTTGGGACGAAGATAGTACATATTTAGGAACTACATTAAAAGTTTTATTGAATGATAATAGCTGAATCCGCTTATGATAAAGATTTAATGCATAAAATCAAATAACAAAATGGAATTAAGTTGACCACATGAATAATAAAACTACAGCTGTATTAAAGACTAAGGTTGCACTACTGTTAGAGTCCCACGTTAAAAAAATAAAAAGCAATGGGTTAATAAGACCTTGGTATTTTTTTTTCATAATGGATGAAGATGACTATTCTATGAGTATCCTAAATTTGTTAGGCAAACACAATCATCATTTAATGCATCTTGGTGCCCATTTCAGGACCGAAGATCCATCGGTAGAGACCTAACAAGACCTCATCATCATCGTGAGGATTCTGAAAGCACGATTGGCAAGCGGGCCGGTGAAGAATCAATAGGAACAGCAAGCCCCATATCTGCCTGATCTGAACCAGATTGGTTGCCCCCTCCCTCCCTCCCACACTGCTTCTTCTGCCATTCAGTGTAAATATGGTTCCCTTTTGCACTTGAGAGTTTTGATGCATCTGTATTGTCCTCTTGTAAGTTTTGTAGCATGTTAGGTAACTCATCCATAAACCTTCCTTATTACTTCTATAATATATTGACGGTTACAAGAATGTGCCTTTTTGTTACCAGGCCTGTAATTTACATAATGGTTTTTATATTTTTTTTAATTGTAAAAGTTCCTGAAATTTTATTATTGCTATTTACGCATAGAAATATCTTAATAGTAGGACTTGTAAGTTGTAATAATTATATATCTGTTTCTGACTGTGTGTATCAAGTTCTCTCTGATTTTCATAGGATCATTCCAGGTTAGAGCACAAAGAGCATCAACATGATCCCACTTGATCCCCATTATGGGAGCTCAATGGAGTGATAGATCAACATGGAAGCTCAAAAATGACATATGACAAAAATTAAGAGAAGGCATGGGACTAACCAATTAAAGGCCATGTGACTTTTTATATAGAATGAATCCACCAACCTCATCAAACATCCTCAAACTCCCTAATTTCATTTATTATTGATTAAATTTAATTTATTGTACAACAAAATTATACCAAAAAATTAGATTTTTTCCCTCTATAAATAGACACCAATGAATGATATGTTTAGTCACTTTAAAATTTACCACTTTTTTCCCTCTTGCATTTTATTTTATCCGTTTTAGAATATTTTTTCCTCTGAAAATGGATCCAACCAATTCTCTACCTAGATACAATGCCAACAATAAATAATGATAGTGGGTCAAATGTGGATTTTATATTCCTTTTTGAAATTGTATAAATTAATAATGATGAAATATACCAAAAATATGGAGAGAGAATGTACAAATTTTAAGTAACCTAGGTCACCATAGTGGGGTGAAAGTATGATAGGTTAAAAGTGATTAAGTTTTTGTGGGAAATGATGTGGAAGAGAGGAGAGGGTCAAAAGTCATTAGCATTGTGATGCTCTAAGGTTGCATGAAAAAAAAAAGAATGTATGCTTTATTTAATCATCATATTTATTTTTTCCACATTGTTGGTGAATATGTTTAAATTTTAATATTTCTTCCACGTCGTTGGTGAATGTGTTCAAATTTGATTCGAGTCTAAACTTGGATAAAGTTTCATTAGGGATGGATCGGTTCCGGGCCGACTGGCCCATGACCCGGCCCGACATTGTGCCGGCCCAGCCCGCCAACCGGGTCAGGGACCGGTTCGGGTGGCCCGGCCTGGGGGTATGATACAGCGGGCTCCGGGTCTGCAAAAAGAGGGACCGGCCGGGCCCGGTTCGAGCCTATTTTTTTTTTTTTAATTTTTTTTTGTTTTTCCCAGGTTGGACTGGGTGTTTTGGCGGGTTTGGGGGTGGGGGGGTTCATTAGAAAAGCAAAAAAAAAACGAACCGGCCCGGACCCGGTGGATTCCCGGGCCGGTTCCGGGCCTCCTCCCAAAATTAAAAAGCCCGGTTTGGACCGGCCCGACCCGGAACCGGTCCATCCCTAAGTTTCATTGGGATCCTCATTTTTGCCTAATTTATAAATTCTCAGAATTTGGTAAATCTGAAATATTCCAAAAAAATTGTGTTTTTTTTTACATTAGGCACTTCAGTAGTAACCAATGATTGTTTAACAAGTACTACGTACTATTTTTGAAACTTGAAAGTAACCATGAAGGCAAGGAGGACGTGTCCAAAATGTACTATCCAACCGTATGTGGGTAGAACTGATTCTAGACCAATTTCGGATCAGTTACCGGAACCTTTAGATACTTTTTAAAAAATAGATAAAATGTGTTAATTAAGCACACTATTGTAATGTGTTTGTTGCAAACTATCTTTGAAATACTCTTGGATGATTTTTCTAAGCACCCCAGAGGCCCAGATTGGATTCGTGCTAATCAGAGTAATTGTAATATATCTATAACTTTTTTCATTTTTATCCACTTCTATGTGTAAAACTTGTGATGCATTATGACCATTTTCAGATATACACTTCGATTCTGACCAATTTCAGATTGGTTATGATTAGGGTTCTAACGACTCTTTACTCTATTTTTCCAAAAAAAAAACATAACTGGATTTTCTAATGTGTGATTGAAGTCATACACTACTTATTGATGTTTTAGTTGCAACCTATCTTTGAAATGCTCTTGGATGGATTTTCTAAGCATCTCAAGTTCATATCATGGTAATTGTCTGATCCAAAATTTTATGACCAATGTAATTTAGTCTTCAGTGGTGTAAAGGTGTAACCCGTGTTTGTGATGTAAATTGATTATTCAAATAATCACAAGAATGGCAAAAAGTTACAATAGAAATCGATGCGCTTCAAGTGGTTTTTGATTTAGTTGAAAAACATGCAAACTATGATTTTGACCTTATTCTGGATTACATTAGAGTCGTGATCCTGTCTTTAATGTCCCACATGTTAAATGGTATGAATCATGTAGCTCATAAGCTTGCTAGAGTTGTCGTTTATTTGTCTGATAGTAGAGTATGATTGGGTGCATCTCCTTCCAATGGTTGGAATGTTGGATGACGATTTGCTCATTTAATCTATGAAGTTATTTTAGTAAAAAAATCAATATGTGGATGATGGTTAACTGCATGAATCGTATATCCTGTGTAAATGAACTTTGTTTTAGTGTAAATACTGTGAAATCTTGTATTATAAAATTGTTCGTTGGCTCAATGGTGAGACGAGAACGAAATTAAGGACATGCCCCGCGCTAATAACTAAGATTATGCTTTAATAATTTGGCCACTTCTTTATGTCTTTCAACTTGTCTTGATTGTATATAGGGATGGACTGAGCCGGTTTGGCCCGAATCATTACCCAACCCAGCCCGTTATTGTGCGGGACCGGGACTGGATTCCCAATCCGGGGGATTTAGGGGCGGGCTACGGGATGCTGATTTGGTGGACAGACCGGCCAGTCCGGGCCTTTTTTTTCGCATGGTTTGGCTGCTAGGCGGGTGGGGCTGAGTGGTTTGGGGTGGGGGATGTGGGGTAGGAATAAATCAAAAAAATCAAATATTTAAAAAAAAACCCGACCAGGGCCCAGCCCAGTCCTGGTACCAATCCAGGCCGGTACCAGGCCTTCATCCCAAAACCCATCCCATCCAAATCCCGGCCCGGGGCCCAACCCGGTCCCGGTCCATCCCTAATTGTATATGACATTATTATAAATTCATAATGTCCTTGCGCTTTTATTTTATGTTGGAAATTGAAATAGGTTGCAGAAAGACATTGATAAATGCACTTTTGGCAATTAAAAATGTTTTGCATTTCAGAAAAGTAAATAAACAGGAACTATAATGTAGGGGACTGCCGACTGGGAAGGAGTGTCACCATAAGCCATTATTACTCCGTATTTGTATATGATATACAAGTTCAAAATATACTACACCCCATTGGATTTGGTGGTACATTGGTACATGATAAAATGGCATACAAAGTTATTATATGAATATTACAAATATGAATGAAGGAAATGTATATTTCAACTTTAACAAATACGTAGTATGAAAAATGGTTCTAATATAGTTGCTCCTGCACCTCACCCCCAAACTCAGCCAGGCAGTGTTTTCCATTATCAGTACCAGTAGTGAAGCAGTGTAACCCTGAAATCAGGCCGGAAACTTCCATGAGGCCACCACCCATTAAGCTGCCCTCAAAAGAAAAAGCAACTCCACCCTCCATGATACGTTTGTTTGTCAAGCATATGTACAAGCATTCTTGAGGGAAATGGGGTGATTGAGCTTTGTGGTATCAAGAACGATAGAACACTCGATCTGTTTGGTAAACTTGGGTTTGACCAATTTTCCCAAGACATATGCTCTTGATTTGACCACCATGTTCAGTTTCAGCGGCACTGGCTGGGTTGTCGCCCCTGCTGGTGTTGTAGTCAAACTCGCTCCACTCCCATACAATGGAATCTTATTTCCTACTACTGATACACCTACTGTCCTCTGGCTCTTTCTTGATTGATAGAATTTCTCCACCTAGTTTCAACAAAATTTCACCAAATCAATAAGACCCCTGGATTTCTTTTAAGAAAGGCAAATGTAGAAATTGGACAAATCCCAATTCAGATTATAGTGAATACAATCCATTAATATGTTTATGGTTCATTGAATTATTAGAAGTAATAATCAAATTTATTTATGTTCCACTCAGTAAAGCTCACTCATTCATCAATTCAGATTATAGTGAATGCATTAAGAACAATCCATTAATATGTTAATGGTTCATTGAATCATTAAAAGTAATAATCAAATTTATTTATGTTCCACTCAGTAAAGTTCACTCATTCATCCATTAACCGAAAAAAATTCAAAGACCAGTTTGAATTCATTCATTTTCTCAATGCATATCAATACTTAAGTAGTTTACTATACAGACAGCTATCAAAAGAAAAACAAACCAATCATAAATATTGAAAATTCAATTGGTCCTAAGGATTTAAAAAATATGTTTTGATAGGATCCAATGATCTAAACAATACCAAATGGATAGCACACTATCCAAATGGATGGCAAATGCATGGATTGAATCCAATTCATTATTGATAAATGAAGCATTTTAAGTAGAATTGGATAGGTATAACCTTCAATGGATTCATCGGTGTGGGGACTATGGGCAAATGCATTTTATACACATTCCTAAATTTACTCCCTGTTTCATACTTAAAAAAAGAAGCAAAATATTTCTATAGTCTTGAGCTTATCTAAATATCTATTTAACTCAAGACATCTTTGGCTAGGATGAGTGCAGAAGGAGCAAATGTGCAGGTCAACTCACTATTACTTTACTTCATGACAAGTTTGGAGAGGAAGACAACTAATTTGCTAAACTCCTCCTAACCTTTTGGCTATGATTTCTTTTAAGCTATATTCATGCCTTTTCAGATTCAAACATTGAAAGCAAGTTACTTCCAAAAACCAAAGCTGAAGGGCTTACTGTTCCAGAGCCAATTGTGATTTCTGAGTATGAGAGATGAATAGGGGATGAAGCAGCATGCACGCCGAAAAATGTAGCAGTGTTGCGGTAAAGAAACTTCAGAGTTGAATTCATGGAGATCATGTCGGTGCTCACTCCTGTATGGTCCGAACCAGCTTGAATTGCGAAGCTCTCGAATGTAATACTCTGTGAACAAAGCAATTAACTGTACAATCAGAATTTCAGATCGACAAAATCGATACCCCAATATGAATCGAGTTTCTAGA